TTATCATAAGCGAAGAAACCGACAGCCTGCTGCAATACTTTTTTTTCAGTGATACTTCTTTGCATATAAGAGTGCGCGCGTACTGCTTCTCTAGCCAGGCCGTGATTATAGTTGTTTCATACTGCAGTCTTGACGCACTGTTCAAGCAGACATGAAAAGGGAGACATCATACAGTGCATCTAAGAACTGTTGATTTTAATATCTAGAACCCTTGATCACAATGTCCTGCTTGCGCAGCATGTTTATATATTCACGTAGCTGCACACTTCAAGCTGCACAGCACATATATACCTTATAGTTATACAAAACACAAAACATTAGTTGCGAAAACACAAGAAGCTGTTCTTCTGATAAAAAAAAAATTCGGCGGATCCCACGTACCTTGGAAATCAATGTTACGCGAGGCATGCGTAGGGAAGGTGACTGTGCAGTAATTTTTTTACTGAGCGAAACGTTACAAATAGATGTTAAATATATGTGTGAATGTACGCACAGACATATGTAAACAGTCGCGTACTGTGCCACAACGATACCAACAGCAACGTGTTAATTAGCAACACCAGAAGTGGTAAGCTGATGTGTAGCGCTTGTGCCAGCGAGGATGGCAGCCCGGGACACTCATAAATAAATGACCTTCAGTAGATGGCGCTTTACTACAATTGCCTTCAACCCGAAGTGACGGTTGTGTAATGGGAGTACGTATGTACTGTTCATAAGATTAGATAGCCAGCACTGCCACCACAATTGACATTTCACGACCATGACGGTCAACTTGAAAAGCAGTTCCGAAACCTGGCGTGCTTCTGAGGCATAATACTTTGTTGCCATGCAGAATTTTGTGGTTTCATTCCTGCTGGGACCATAATATTTATTCTGCGTTCGTTGGATCAACCAGCCGCTGTGAGCGTTTTCTTAATGCACACGCGTTAGAATCGTCCAAATGTGCCCTTGCCGTTCCTGGGTAGATATGAAGCGTCCATCACCTGTGGACGCTTCAGTCCTGTGACTGACAAGAGAGTTAACGCGCCTCTTTGAACAGGGTCATATAGGTTTCAAATGAGTGGCTGGAATGAGACAGACAGGCTCTTAACTTCTATATAGCGTACAGAAAGAATTGCGCTTGCCTAGAGCGTCGGAGAGCGTGTGTTTGCATACTAGTTGCCTGCAGCGGCTAGCCCCCATTATCTGCAAGCATCCGCTCATGCTTCAGTTATATCCCAATTACATCACAAGAAGGTAGCACTCATAATAGAATGTGTTGCTCGGCTAGTTGGCGCACTGTCTTAAAAGTAAAAGTAAAGCGAAAAAAATGGGACCTGGGAGACAAGTAGACCGCTCGTCTCATTTACCCGTCTTCTGTGCCTCATCTTTAGCTGCCTACTTTTATTTTAAGACGTAGCATGCAGTATGACTAAATAGGTATCAACACCACGTCGGCCTTTGCATATTTATGCATAAAACGAGTGATACTGTCTGCTTGATCCTCATAAAAGTATGGGCGTACACTGCTTAAACAACAATTCGGGTGTTTTTGTGCCAAAACCACGGAGCGATCATGGAGCACGTGATGGTGCGAATCTCCATCTCAATATTATTCATCTTTTCTGGCACAGGTTGTGCAGCACTTGTTAACTAACGAATATTTCAATGCGTCTGTATTCAATGTACTTCCAGGCAAAGCGGTTTGTCCAATTAAATCGAGACATCTAATCAGATACTTGGAAGTATGAGAAACGGGACGCTGCAATTCAAAATTACGGTCCGTAAACACACAACTGTTTCAGCAGAATGACCCCTTTGGGTCCACGCATGTAAACCAATGGTTACAGGTGTTGATGACTGGCAGGCGGCTACATTAAGTACTGACACGAATTTGAAACATGTTGATATTGTTGCTCTAAATGACAACACAGTTTTTGAGAACCCTGAGACTGTATAGTACCTGGAAATTTATCACATATATGCTTAATGCCACTACATTTTTCGCTTTCCTTATTGAGGAGGTGGCTTCTCGATCACGTTTCATTGCGGTGTGACGTCACGGGAAGACAGCAGTTCACGACGTACTCGAGGTCAAATTATATCGGTCGCAAAGCTTGGAACGATAAATAGTCGAAAACCTAATGTCACAAACATACACATGCTGTACAATTGAAGTGCGACTACGTAAGAAGAAAAAAATAAAAGAAACTAAAACGTATAGTAAATGTATTTGAATACTCATAATTTTTATATGCCAATGTAAATAGCAATTCAGTTTATGGCTTATCTGATGCTTGGTTAAAGGGTTGAGTGTCTGACATTTCTCGGTCGATTCCCATAAATAGATGGCGCATACAGGCAGTCTGCATTGTGGGCCTGTGTTTAGTTCGGTGCTTTGTTGGGTCAACAAAGCATTGCTCACTTTCATGCGGTGGTTGCGTGCTTATCTTCTGCAGATTTTATTTTCTTACGCATGGCTTAGCGGCGTGACCCTTCACAGAAGCTAAGCTAGCTCACAAAAGATGTAGAAGATAACCACGCATGTGACATATATAGACTGCTTCCGCCGGCGCCCTGGCCTCAGTGAATGAGGCACGCCAAGCGACGGAACGGTGTACTGTAAGGTTGTCAAAGTGATACCGTTAATCTTTCTGCGTTGCATTAGTGGTTATTATCGGCTAGGCAAAGTGAGTATTTAGCTGCTGTGATATTGTGGTCGGGAGCCGTTGTACCGTAATCTCTTCTTCTGCAAAGTATCTTGGTGTATATAATGCAAGTACATTGTTTGGCTAATAAAACAAGCTTTCCCCCAAAATCTTTTTTGTTGATCTTGCTTTTCTTTCGCACATTCAATCGGCGTGCCGCAGAGATTCAATGAAGTCACGTAGTCATCAGAACCATGAAAAAAAGGACAGCAATTCAAAAATTTTTACTTCGCGCCATGTAGTCGTGCAAACGCATGAAGTCACACCACTTCCGGTTGTGACAAGATCTTTTATTTTCTGTTTGCTCGCTGTAAATATGATGGTGAAGCGGTAATGAGTCGCCAACTACTTTACACGTGGGCTTCTATGGAAGGTATGCTACCAGTTTACGTAAACCTTGGCGTACTAGCGGCACATGGTGCACCAGAACAACGATGAGTATCTTGTCGTCCAGCGACCCCTACAGTTATTTCTGTGATTTAGGCTTCATGCAGGAATCAGAGTTCTGAAACCAAGTAAAACTGTGTTACCTCGTCGGGATAATGTCCATTGCGGTGAGGCTGGCTTGCTGATACTCAGCGACGAAAGCTTCAGTATCGAAGAAAATTATTTACACCTGTTGGATGACACTGGTGCGTGGAGAATGTTAACACTGCATACCAAGGAAACAAAAGATGTTGCAAAATTTTGTTGCTTCACCTTGAAGTCATGAAACTGCCCATAGCGAGACCATGATAAATGTACGGGCGAAGAGAGACCGATTAATGCAAGACGGCCAACATGAGGGCGAGAAGGTTACGATATTGTTGCGTCGGTTCTTTCTAATTAGGGAATAGAATATTTGTCTTGGTTTCGGAATCCCTGATTAAACTGTATTGAATAAAGTAACAAATTATGCACGGATTATCAATAAATCTGCTGAGACGAGGAAGTCGTTGTTAGATAAGTCTACAGATGTTTATCGAAGAAGTTATATAACTCTTTGTTATGGAGTAATTACACGCAATAAAGCCCTCCGCCATTCACACACACACACATCCACAAACGCATACACTTATGACCACACCCCACAAATGCAGGTATGCTTGCTTGGGCGTAGGCTTTAGTGAAGTTATGTTAAGTGACACTGAATTCCTTCATTCTGGCGGCTTACCAACATGTCTGACAGCTATCAGAACTTACCACTACTAAGGTATAAACTGGGCAGCTTTACATTGATTTGTGGCTGATAAGAATGCAACGAATTTGCATTTCTCGTGTCGACTGCTTTGTATTTTGTTATTCCCTGTGTGCCCCAGTTTGAACGCTTTATCCAGAATTATGCATAATTAAACACGAAGATATGGTCCCATAGGAATCCCTATCATCACACATATCTAGGAAAGCTCACACATGGGTCTCTTTCAATAGGGGTAGTAATCAATAGCCATATTTTATTGTCCGCTACTGAAACCCTACAAGAGCAATGACTACAGTAAATGAAAACGATCGACGTCGTGTATCAGCGCAATAGAAGCCATATTATTTTTCAAAGTTTTAATAAACGCGAAATAAACAGCAAAGACATCAATCAGTAAACCAGCATTTGAAAACACGCTGTTGACAACAGCTTCGTACGCTTCTGCAAACTCGCACGACTGGTCATCTTCCATAAAGTTTGTTTTCCTAAATTTATTTGAGCATGCTTATTCCATCCACCAATGTAGGTATGTGATATAATCTGCAAAGAAGCGTTGATAGATAGCGCTTGTTTAATGCACTCTAAATGCTGAAATAGAATTAGTACCCACCCAACTTACGCCATGCAAGAAAATAATGTTACCCAACAAGCTGGCTTTTTACATTGCAGTTGAAAACAAACGGCCCGGGCCTCTGCAGCGTGTCGATGTGGTGGAGAGACAGTAACAACATGTAAATCATGTGCACCATATAACAATCTGGTATAGCTGGTTAGAGCACGCACATCACCTTCCCGACCATACAGAAATTATGTATTTTTTGTCACTGATAAGCGCACGTAACAATCGGGTTTCGAGAAATTCTGCGTCATTAACAATACCATTATCTTCATCATCACTATCATCATAATCGTTATGGCCCTGGGAGGCTCGATTAGCTCCGAGCTCCGAAATGTCAAAAAGCGGCTCTGTATGCAGAGAAACGTCAACAGCTGTACTTAAAAACATTATTGTCACCCAATGCGTCTTTTCATATTCTCCCTTACAATTTATAGCAATATAAAGGCGCTCGGGTTAACGGCTCGTGGCGTCAATGGCGCGAAGCATGACGCGTTCGTATCCTCATATCGAACGCTCAGGTAGGCGGTGTGCCCCGCGACAGTTCCCTGCTGCTGCTCGAGCTGGGTCCGTCGTGAATTTGCTGATCTTTGTCCTTGGTCTTGCCCTTGGTCCGTTCGAAGTAAGGGTACTCGCCCTGGATGAGGATCTCGAAGTCGCGGTAGCGGATCTCTTTGCCCAGGTACGGGATGTAGATGCACCGCTGCGACGCTATCACCTTGCCGGGCGTCAGCTCGCCCTTGTGCTCGTGTCTGCCGATGTAGATGAGCTCGCCCGTCGCGCTGCGCCCCGCCGGAATCGCGTTGCGTGGCACCACGCAGCCGCCCATGCGTATCTGCAATGGCGCCACAAGCGAAACTGTGAACTAGCTCGGTTGATCACATCAGCCTCATCCGCGGCCTTCCACATGGGGCAAGAGAAACGTTCAGAAGGATCGTCGCTTGAGTACGCAAATAAATGTACCACTTTGGACTGCCAGGAGCGCTGGCTGACGCGTACCTAAATAACCAACAACATGCGGAGAGGTCACATCCGCCGCCGTTGCCCAATCGTAGTGCACAACGCTCGTAATGGGAAGGTTGTAGGCTCAGTTCCCATCTGCAAAAACTTCTTACTTCGCGCACTTTCATTTTCTTTATTTGGGCCTTCCTAAGCTCCAAAGCTTCTCGGGCCTTCCTAAACAGTCAGGAGAAACAGCAAAAGAAGAAGGACCCCTTGATCAATTTTTCGCCTCGTTCGAGCTTCGGTTTGGCATCCATCGACATAGTTCACGCACGAGAAAAGTGCCGGTATTTCACTCAGCTAGCTGGCGCCTGAACTAAGCTCGTTCGAGTGGCGGAACGACTCGAATCAGTATTGCATGTACTCCGCGTGCCAAGTGTATTGTGAACCAGCCTCTGTTTCGGGAAAAGGTGGCAACAACTTCAAACAGAAGTCATCGTAATTGAGGAAGAGTGGAGCACGCGCGCAATTGCAGAGTCAATGCTCCTGACAAGAAAACAAGCATCATATTTCTCCAGAAGTTAGTATAAACCTCGTGGAAAAGGGAAGCTCAAATCAGTGCTGTTCGTTTGTTGGTGGCTGTGCGTGTTCCTTTCTCGTGTGGTGGCTGTGCGTGTTCCTTTCTCGTGTGCGTGTTCCTTTCTCGACATGCTCATGGAGCATGTCGTTCAGACGCGGCTCAACAGGTACATGGAAGACAATGGTTTGTATCCGGACACCATGATCGGTTTTCGACCCCGACTATCAGCGTGCGACGTGATGCTACAGCTCAAGGACCAAATTATAGACAAGCCAACGCGAGACACAAAAGTTATCGTGGGTTTAGATGTGGCAAAAGCATTTGACAACGTGAGGCACGTATCAATCTTGGAGAATCTGAGCTCCCTGAACGTCGGAAAGCGACTTTATGATTACGTCAAGGACTTCCTTTCGAACAGGACAGCCACTTTAAAAATCGGGGAAGAATTCATCGAGGACATTAAATTAGGCAACAGGGGGACACCTCAGGGCTCGGTGTTATCACCCACCCTTTTCAACATTGTGATGTTGAAACTGCCTGAACAGTTAAAGGATATTGAGAATTTAAGTCACACCATTTACGCGGATGACATAACATTATGGATGAACAAGGGCAGTGACGGCCAAATTGAAGGCTCTCTGCAAATCGCCATTGATAAAATCGTGGAGTACCTGGAGCCCAAAGGACTTAAATGCTCGGCCGAAAAGTCGGAAGCACTCTTCCTCATGCCCGCCGGAAAACGGCGGCTCCACAACAGGCCTGAAGTGGACATCCACTTGTATGTTAACGGCGCAGAGATTCCCGCGGTCGACAGTATCCGTGTCCTTGGACTAAGGATTCAGGCGAACCGTAAGAATTCTGAAACTCTTGCTAGGTTGGAAGCCAGTTCTAATCAGACATGTCGTCTCATCAGACGAATAGCAAACAGGCATGCTGGGATGAAGGAGGCGAACCTTCTTAGATTAGTGTAGACCTTCATAATAAGTAGGATAGTGTACGTGGCACCTTATTTAAAATTAAACCAAGCGGAGCGGGGCAAACTCGACACCATTATCAGGAAAAGTGTGAAAGTCGCGCTCGGACTTCCCCCAAACACGTCAACTGACAGACTTATGAAGTTGGGGGTATCTAACACACTCGATGAGCTAATTGAGGCTACTGTGACTGCACAACATCAAAGACTACTCGGATCTGAAACGGGGAGAGCAATATTAAAGAGATTGGGCTATGAGCCCACGCGTGAGCAAGCGCGTTCAAAAGACATACCGATACAGATCAGGGACAGGATAACGATACCTCCGCTACCCAGAAATATGAACCCTAACTTTCACGAAGGCAGGCGTAAAGCCAGGGCAGAGGCATTACAATCTAGGTACACTGGTCGACAGGACGTCGCGTATACAGACGCTGCGGAATATAAAAGCAAAGCGGCACACACGGCAGTGGCGGTCAGGGGAGATGGTGGCCTAATTGCGTGCTGCACAGTACTTGGTGTCGAGACTGTAGAGGCCGAGGAAGTGGCCATAGCTTTGGCCATCAGCCAAAAGGGGACCAGGGTGGTCATCAGCGACTCCAAAAACGCTGTGAGAAATTACGAATCGGGAAGGGTGACGGAGACTGCCGTCCGTATATTAAACATGGTAGGAGTACCCAAAGAGCAGATTCTGCTTGTCTGGGCTCCAGCTCACCAAGGACTTAGAGGGAACGAGGAGGCTCATTCCGTCGCCCGAGGTCTCACCTACCGGTCGACCCCTGGAACCTCCCTAGTTACCGAACAAAGAAGCGAGTATATGCGCACATACCATGAAATCGTCGCACACTACAGGCTGAATCGGCAAGTATACCCGAGAGCGGACAACTCACTAAGTAAGAAAAACGAGATTTTGTGGCGAAAGTTACAGACCGGGGTTTTTCCAAACCCCGCACTTTACAGCAAGTGGCACCCCGCAGTTTTCCAGTCCCAGTGTAAATTTTGTGATGAGGTAGCGAATTTGGTCCACATGGTGTGGACATGTCGAAGTCAAAACGATGGTTCTCACTCTGTAGAATCCTGGGAGGCCCTGCTCTGCAGCCCAGATCCCAACGTCCAGCGCGACATCATCAGTCAAGCCCTTGCTGCTGCCGCGTCCCAAGGGATTCCGGCCGACAGCTAGGGGCAACGGGCCATGCCTGAGCAATTGACTGACCTTTTAATAAAGTTTTCTCTCTCTCTCTCGCTCTTTCCTTCTGTGGTCGGCGTTAGCGAAACGGCCCTGATTCGGTTGCGAACGTGGTGTGAGGGCGCGCCTACGCTCTTAGCATCATGGCTCAAGTTCGGTGCCTGCGCCAGTATGTGAGATCATGTGTTCATATCGATGAAAAAAAAAGCGAAATGTGGCAGTGTAAAATGACCATCGTCCTGTATAGTAGCTTCGGTTGCCACATCAGAAACAGTTAATGACCGACAAGTCCCGAGAATGCATAAATTATTGTAAAACGGTGTATACAATGGCACATATGACCAGCGCACCTTCGTGGGCTGCTTTTCAACACGCCCAACGGCGCCGAGTTCTTCGCGTACGACAACCAGTGATGCCGAACCCAGGGATTTATCCGTAGGTCGGGATGACTCACTGCTCACCCACAGTAGAGCACGGAGTACTCGAAGTCGTCATACACTTTTTTACACACATCTAAAAATTTTTTTTCACCTCTTTTAGGAATTTCGCGTCTTGTTTGCTGAATCTGGGGATTTTAACAGGAAAGTGCTTTATGCCGGGGTCTACCGCGGCTCCGCTGATGTATTTGCGTCATGGACATGACGTTTTAAAGTTCAACAGAATGCAAATAAAAAGACAAGGCGGAAAGGTTGCACAGTGGGGCGTCGGACTAGAGACCTCGTGCTCTTCGCAGGACGCTAACCACTAGGCCCACCGAGCGAACCTTCTCAAACTTGGTAACCGTAAGCCATTTGTATACATCGTGTACAGCTGGCGGCCATCGAAACTCAGGAACATCAGCGCGTTCTCGTCATCAGTCGCGATATGGCACGACGGGTGCACGTGCCACGCAGCCCAGCGCACCTACACACATGGCGTGGTCAAAGTGCGTTTTGATGTTCTCTATAGCCTGGTGACTCACTCGACGTGCACTATCTCGGTATTTGAGCGTTTTGTACCTCTTGATCGTCTACCACAAGTTTGCTTTGAAGTTACAGCATTTAAAGAGAGCACGATCGAACGTCACTTCACTCGCTGCCGCGGCCGCGTTTGCGGAAGGAGTGCGCTGCTCACACACGAACAAATACAAATGATGACAGTTGTTCGCGCTCATCCTGTGTATGCCTGTGCATTCACTTCGTGCGCCTTTCTTTCTCTTTGAGCAGTGCGCACTAAGTGTCGAGCTGTGGTAGTCGTTTGTACACGCTCGTCCTAGGCGTGTTTTTGGCTTGATGTGGGTGCTACAAGTTTCGTGCTGCTTGCTCTTCTTCGCGTGAAATTGCAACTTCTTGCTGTAGCATTTATTCCTTCGCGCTTGTGGCGAATCAATTGAACTTATCAAGTGACGCCTTTGAGAGTTACATTTCGGCAGTGGCGTTGTCATCAGTGATGCCGACCTAAGCCAATGTTTTATTCTTATATTGACCCTCTAAAAATTTTTACATTACATTTTAATTTCAATATTTTGTCTAATTGACTTTTAACTAAGTATTGAGATACTGTGGTCTATAGGCAAGTTATTTTGAATCATGTTTGAAATAAAAGCGTGTAGAAAAAGCCTTTAAAGTTTGTTTTTTTCTGCACGCTATGTGGAGTTGCATATAAAGTGGTTTCAAATGGCGCCAGTTGCCTGAGAGATATATTTCCATGTAAAGTTCTCTTTGCACATACATTGAAGATATACGGGGTGTTTCAAGAAATGCGTCCAATACTGTTTAAAAATCAGTAATGGACGCTATTTCCTCCCTGTCTTCACAGTCGCTTTTTCTGTAGCAGCAGGCATCTTAAGAGAGATGAAGACATAATTTGAAACACTAATTAGGAAAGTTAAAATAATTAGCTTTTTTAATTATTCACGTTAGGCAGTCAAGTCAGATGTGAGAATTGAAGTCCTTGGTGCGAAAAACCCATTACCGCTTTGAGGTTTTGGAAAAGCGGTCTCTAGTAAGAAGTACAAATTACTGAAATTCTGCTAAATTCTGCGGCGAAACCGAAACCAAAGGGCCGATGAGTGCAAAAAGCAGGTGACTACAATGACGTCACTGTTCAAAACAACTAGTGGTTACAGGGGTGCAGGTTTTTTCCCATTCGTTAACGTACGTGCGTCATGCATGCTGTTATTGCGAGCACAGCCTACACACGCACGCAACGAAGTCGGTTGATGGTTGATATAACAACGGTGCCTTATTTCAGTTGCGCTCTTTTCGGCTTCGGTTTCACCTCAGAATTTAGGATAATTTCATTAATTTATAAATATTACTTAATAATCACTTTTCCGAAATTTCAAAGCGGCGATGGGTTCTTCGCGTGAAGGACTTCCATTCATGCCGTTTGACCTAACTGCCTCATTCCACTAATTAAAAAGTTAATAATTTAACTTTCTTACTTGATGTTCTAAATGATATATTCAGCCCTATTAGGATACCTGCCGCTACAGAAGAAGCACATGTGAAGACTGCGAGCAAATACCACCTTCTCCTGATTTTTTAAAATATTGGACACATTTCTTGAAACACCCTGCAGATACGCGATCATTCAGGTAAACCCAAGTATAAGCACCTTTGCTGTACTTGCAGCTTCTGAGCTGGTAGTCTATTTTTAATTTTTCCTCATTTTCAATCACTGTTGCATTGTTTTAGTGGACGTACTATCGACATCAAATGAAAGGCAACCAGCGGAGCATCTGCATCAAGCACAAGCGAAGCTACATTGAGCGCAGTCCAGTCATCATCGTTGACAGGCGCAGACAAACAGTTTGGCAGAAGTGCGCGATCACCCTGCCACCAGGTATTTTCCCGTTTTTTTCTAGTTTTGTTAATATACAATAAAGTGGTGAAGGTAATGAAACAGAAGCGATGAAAGGCGTGCAGAATGCACATGTCGGCTACCACTATAACCATATCACAACGAAAACAAAAGCCAAAATATCGGATTAGAATCAGTGTTCCCGAACAGGATGAGCGCGTTTTCCAGTCAAGATAACTGAACGGCATGCACTATATCTTCCATAGTGCTTGATCCACACGCTGCGCTGTTCGCGTTCCATTGGACACCGATGGTGCGTGGGTGCCTAATGACTTGTTGATAACTACGCCTTTTCTCTGTACTTTCAATTTGTTTGGCTTGACATATTCATCACTTTTTCACTCTCATGTAAACGGCACGAAGGAAACACAAACACCCGAACAGTCTTCTCGTCTCTTTTCATCGCACCGTTTCCACGATATCGAACACGTAACTTGACCTTACCAAAACATCAGTCTTACTAACGCTCTGTTGCGCTTAAATCTTCCTGGTTATTTTACATGTATACATATCTCGGCGGATGCCCGCAGTGAGCGTAAACTGGACACGTATTCATGTGTATCAACAGATAAAATTTATCTTCGAGCCACAGTGCAGCGATCACTCAGAAAACTCGTGATATGCGCGTGCTTAGCGCTTGCAACAGCAGAGTCTCGCTGCGCACAACAACTGCTATTCCCTTCACGTGGCCTATGAGAACACAAAGACTGCCTTAAATTAACGAAAAACAAGTGATTATAAAAGAGCCACAATGCTCGTTTTCTTTTACAGCCCTTCTAGTTGGAAAAGCCTCCTTCTAATGAGAAGCCTTTAATTAGGCCGTGTAATGCGACATTTCCAGAGCGAAACAATAAAACGTGGCTGATATTTCTTTGTTTGAAATCGGCATAAAACGAGCTTGAAACGTGTCCTCGCAGAGATAGTTCAGCATTCATTGAGCATTAATGCTAATTGGTATACCGATGTTCTTGTCGATCCTCCCTTACCATATATGCAAAAAATAACTTTAGTAGAGTCTTGAAGGACAAGATTACAAGCGGTCAAGAGGGCTTCGTAGTCGTCAGAGCTGTTTTCCTGTCGGCACCGAGAGATGGTGACTCATCCACGATATGAGCCCTCTGGACGGCCTCTCTTTGTCCCTCGGTTTTTTTTTTTTTTCTGTTGTGCTGCTCGAATCATTCGTTGGTGGTTTGACACTACTCACCCACTGGTAGTTGACAGAGGGTGCCTTGACAAGCACCTCGTATACGTTGGAGGAGAACTCCATCTGTTCGAGAGACACGAAGCAAACCTTGGACGAGGGAAGTACTTTGCCCGGCAGCAGGTTGCCCCGAAGCATCACACGCCCCACGTAGAAGCTCTCGCCGTGCAGGTTATGGCCCGCCACCAGCGCGTTCTTCGGAACGTGGCCGTCGGTGGCGCGCACCCAGTCGTCGGCTGCGAAGCACACCACCCGAGCATCGTCACAGTCGGTGCGCATTGCCTTGAGGGATGTTAGCGCGCATATCGCATCGAAATCGGAAGTGGGTCAGTGAATGAACAGTTGCTGATCCAATCCACGGCTACAGTGGATATGTATGTGGAGTACACTTCATTATATCATGCAATGCTTCATATCCAAACACGCTTACATCAAGTTTGAACTAATGTTTGCGATGCATTGGTTACATATAGACTGGTAATTTGTAATGAGGGTAAAGGGTGGCACACCAACCGTATACACTGAGCGCAGAACTATACCTATACGTGCGTCTATGTGCAGAAATAAGAAATTCGCATTACTTTGGTTGCTCGGATTCCTAGGAACTTGTGGCTTAATAGTGTTGACAAAACAAAACGTCGATGTTAACTGCATGATTGTGGTACTTTTTTTCATCTAGTAGACATGAATTTCACTTTATGGTTAACTTTGTGAGTGAGCGATTTACAGTAAGCGGAGGAAGACTTGCGGTCACCATCAGGAGAGCGTTGCGCAACTTCTTTGGCATAAAAAAAAACTCTTAGTTTTTAATGAAAAAGAATGCTGTGTTCTGTTTTATTATATGTAGCCTTAAGCCATGTATTCATATAGGCATGTAGCCGTATATATAGCCTTAAGTTTTCTCGCACCAAATCGTGTGTGCGCAAAAAGAGGCTTCGCGTTAATGCGCAGTCAAATGTCCGTAAAAAGCAGGTTACACCCGCTTCGCTACGCGCACTGTCGCTGAATGCTTAAAGAGGCAATACTTCGTCAAGTCCGAAAATAGCTGCCTAAGCTAAGCCAGCTAGCTAAGCCAGTATTCTATGAATCCATTCCTTATCGCATCGTCGGAAAGAAGCGGTTTGTTGGTGCGGCTTTAGCGTTTCTTTCGCGGTTGCGAATAACGTGAGTAACAACAATTAGCCCGTAACAGACAAACCACTTAGGTATATTTGTCTTGCAAAACTATGGCCAAAATGGCAGACCACCTTATTCGTGTAGTATATAAGTTTCCCTTCTGCTGCAGCCATTTCGACGCAGAGCTTTCGTATTAATCTTAGTCCAGTGGAGCGTAGGAAATTCTCAAGCGGAGGCTCAATTGATCTTTCTTTAGATTGTTAAAAAGTGAATGCCCACCAAACTTCGACTGATGAGCAGTGTTAAACGGTCGCAAGAACAAAGAAATGCGTTTATGTGTTTGGTTCAGGCCTGACTTATCAAGCGCAATGTAAGCGCATGCTCGGGCCATAACTTCTATTAAAAAAGAATAAAACGTCTGTATGCTTACCCCCCTTTCTCTAATAGAAGTGCGTGTGTGTCTGATTGAGAGCCGGGGCTACCATACACGCGTATGCGCAGACACGTATCTCTCTTTTCTGCTTTCCATGCCACCGAGTGCCTATTAAGCTGACACTCGGCGCTTCTGTTTTGTTTTCCTGTGTCTGTGAAGCCTTACTTTCGTTCTTGGTGAATCCCCAACAATCAGCACAGTTGTCTCTCGTTGTATGAAATGTAAACAATAAAAATAAAACTGCCTTCGACTCGGATTCTGATGCGGGGAGCAGCATTAATTAAGAAGCCGTTATGAGGTTATGTCATTACTATCTCTCATGTGCGTGGTTCGCGTCACGTACGTATGCCTCGAAAGACAATCCAAATGCAAAAATTACAGAAGAACTATCCATCCGCTGCTTCCTTTGTAAGCTTCTTTGTTACTATGAAAGTTGCTGCCTAAATTAACTCGGTTAACAGAATTCGTCGCATCACAGCGCGTGTGCAACACGACTTTGGCGCACGCAAACATCACGTCGCGTTATAACTTGCGTATACCTACTGTGACCATGCGCATTCATTCGTGCAGCGTACTGAGTCGGCCTCAAAAGGGGAAGGAAAGAAGCCCAAAACGTCTCCTTTAATAGTACAACTGACAGCTGCACACGTTGTTTTAACGCTAACAGCGTGCGACCCACTCCTGGAAACATAGAAGCAGCTCATCAGCCACGCGGACGAGCTGTGTATGCGGACATAGGCGCGGCTCTCGCCGAGATTGCCTGCGTCAAAACACTTTTGCCGCACGATTTCTCCTAGGAAAAAAAAACCTCGATTGAGTTCACATGTAGGCACCACATACAGCCACACACTGTATCGCGGAGCATCCATTTCTCGTCCCACAAACCTCTTCACTGGAACCCCCGAGCGTCGCATCCCACCGTCACCACGGTCGAGAGTCCAAGGCACAAAGGCACATCCTCTGTGCTTCGAGGCCGCAACACGGACAGCTTAATCACGATCCGTCACGCAACAGGTCGCACTCCGCGGGCGAAAAACTATTACCACGCTTGCAATTACGTGCTAATTCTATGGCTGCGCGCTGAAGAACGCGTTCCTATAGGCGCAGGCAATCGTGCTTCGTTCGTGCGCCAACACGCAACGCGCTCGGAGCAAAAAAAAAAAAGGCGCCAAATGCATGCGTCGAGCCGGCTTCTTGGTTGCCGCATATGTGACAAATGAACGAGCTCACGCTCTTGTGGTCAAGAAAACAAAAAAAAAACGAACGGAACGATGTCAGAGTTAAGCTGGCGCTGTGCCGCAGCCCACCGGGAAAGAATGCCTGCCGTGGTTGCTCCGGGTCTGGCCGACATTAGGGCCTAACAAAAGGTGCGGCCGACATTACGTGCACGTGGCCGGTGTGGCAGTGTAGATATGCGCACGTGTGTCTATTCCCACGCGTTTTATACGGCCGCGAAGATAATTGAGTGTCAGTGCTGCATGTTCTAAACACGTGTCTGGGACCTCCAACGCTCTCCTGCTCCGCTAGATCCAGGGTCAGCTACTGATGAACTGCGACTTAGGTGACGTAGTACACAGTAGGAAAATTCAGTAAACATTCTGTTTTGTAGATATACCTAAGCGTGCACAAATACACCTATAGACTACCAGCGTACTTTCGTGCTATTTTCATTGTGATTCTAAACGACAGAGGATGTCAATATATTGCTGCATTCAGGTATCGCTTCGAATATTCGTACCCGAAAGATGCATTTCGCTAGTCTAGTTATTTTGGTTTATTGCAGATTTCCTTTCACATTATAAGTTTATAATTAATTCTGTATCAAAGTCTCATAAATTTATGTAGAAACAGAGTATCAATACATCGACTGATATAAAAGCAAAACGATGAATTTCGCCTTTCAGTCACCTTTGGCGATTGCATAAGGAACCCCGTGAGTTCTTGCTTTCGTTTTTATTCTGCTATTTGCTGAAACTTGATCCGACATTGATTACGCGTCACATGATACTAAACTAGGTGACACACTGAAGTGGCAGCACACCTGTGGTGCCTGATATTACCATGCCGGTGTGCCACGCAACCACATGACGCAAAGTGTACAAGTTAGAAAACATTAATGACCTCAAGTCAATTCTGTTCCATCATGTTGATGTGGTTCTCATATTCAACGTGGCACCTAAAGCGTGCTACTGTAAACGCAACATGCACCAATGCAACCCTGCATTAATCCTGCAGGCAAATTCAAGCGTGCTACAATCTTCGGGAAGTTTGTAACACGTTTGTATTTGCCAGGATTTGCAACATACCATTCGCCATTTGCACTTGACGTTATCTAGAGCTGCAGAGGCACGGTATACAGTAGATTGCAAAAATAAATGACATTCTATTTAGAGAAGGCGGCTAAGTATGACCCTAATGGCTTCTGGTCTCCTCGATTACGTATATACAAGGCCATGTGCTCAAAGCCATTCATTGCTGATGTTTTACTTGTCAAAATCAGAATGAGGTTGACAGGCGCCATAAGCGGTTTCAACGTCAAGTTCAACCACCTGGTGTTTTAACATCCATATAAATCTAAAAAATCGAAGCATATCTACGGGGTGAATGATGACGAGTGGGCGAAGCTCCAGAGGGAACCATCGGTAAACTGTGAATCTACCGTATTTAGTTCGTGCTTCCTACCACGCTGCAGAAATTAGGTGCCTTCTTCCTCTTCTGACCACTGCTGCCACCACCATCCGGCGACTCAGAGTGCGCGACAACAGTGAACTAATTTTAGGGAGCCTACATGAACGGCCGTTCATGTAGGCTCCCTAACTAATTTTATTACAACGCTCCCCCTAGCGCACATCGCCGAACTATTGCCTTCAACTAATGACACGCGCCATATGTGACATCATTCATATTATAACATCTCGCATCTTTCATCATCCACAACAAGTACCACAATCTAGTTTTGAATTTATCAACTACAAGCATCATTACCTACACGTCGTCCGTCAACCCGTCCGTGCTTCCATCCGTCCACACGACCATCCATGCATCCGTTCGTCTTTTCATGCGTCCGTCCGTGAATACGTCCATCCATCTGTCCGTACGTCCGCGTGTCTGTCCATCCGTCCATCTGTCTGCTAGTGTGTCTGTCCGTCTGTCCATGCGTCCTCCTAGTGAACACACCAAGTACCACCATTTCCCACCTCGCATCCCTCGTGGCACATACGCGCTCTAGATCGGGTATGTGCCACCTGTGGCAACGTACTACTACATACATACAAGGGACAGAACCATGTCTTAAGGAGTTTCGCCCCTAAAACATGGCTTTTTTTTCTTTATTTTAGGGGAGAAGCTCCTTAAAGCGTGGGTCTGTCCATCCTCCATCGTTGTCGTGCGTAGCCACCGGGATGCGAGATGGGAGATGGCGCTACTTGGAGTGTTCACTAGATGGACGTACGGATGGACGCATGGACGGAAGGACAGATATACTAGCAGACGGATGGATGAATGGATGGACGCGCGGAGCGGCATGATAATATATGGTAGCGCAGACAAAGGACACAGACAAGAGAAGGCATATTCAAGACTATAGGCAGCGCTAACTTTCAACAACAGTTTATTATTATGCTGATGCATGCGCGTTGGTTATATTTCATGGTTGTGAGAGCTACGCACGTGTTACGCATGGCGTGG